TTATAAAGTACCCAGTCTCAGGTATTTTGTTATAGTAAAGAAAACTGACTTGTGGGGATCAACCCAGGTATAATATTTTCAAAATGTTACAACTGTTGAATTTTTGTCATTTATGTCTCTTAGGTAGATTCAAACGTACAACCTCCTGGCCCCAAATTAAAGATCTCTGTTTCTCATCTCCCCGCTTCCTCCACACCCAAGGCAGCTACTGAGACCACTACTCAAGGATAAGCATTGAATCAGCCTGCAGGATGTTTCACATTCCCTTCTGCCTTTCCTTCCTCTCAGGGTCATGTTACAGAGTTCAGCTAAGCCTCTCCCACCTAGAAAGACTTCAGAGAGAAGATTTTAACTGAAAGTTTGAGAAACTTCTGACTAGAGGTGTTGCTGGGTTTCATTAACAACTAGCATCTCCCCTGACTAAGAAATCTCCACTTCTAGGCTTGCAAGCTGGTGATACAAAGTCAGGATACAAAGTTGTCTCCAACTTTATACTGGGAAATCTCCAACCCTTCAACCCCCTACTTACCCAGGATTCTTTGGCTCCAACCCATCTCAATGGGAAGCCATCAGTAAGACTCCTCATCTGGGAAATGCTCCTTTGCCCCCGTGGTGGCCTTGTACCAGCATGACCCCATATTCCCCTGTGCACCTGATGTCACCAGTAGTGTAACTCTCAGCAGCTGACTCCTCTCACTCAAATTTTGAAGCTCTCTCCTTTTCAGCCTTAGGCTTTCTCCATCGAGTAAGGAGTTCCACAGCTCACACAGAAGAGCAATTATCACTCTCAGAAAGGAAAACTGTCCGTTGGAGCTGGGGGTTCGGGGCAATGGTTGCATGTTCTAGCTGCCCTGTGCTGCCATGGATGACCATGAGGCAGGCTGTCCATGCTTTTGCAGGTGGTGTGAACCTCCAACGGCTACATCGTCCCTTGCTCATTAACACAGAATGTATTGGTTCTCACCCCACATCACTTCCTGTGTACCCCACACTTACTTTCCATAAGCTGCCTGCACTCAAATTTGTTTGGGGGTCATTTCGAAGAGCCTGAATTAAGACAACTACTTCAGCACTCTAAAGCACTGTCCTCTGTCTCCTTGGGAACTGCATGTGGTCCCCTGATAAATAAACTCTGCTGAGCCATCAAGTTGATAGGATAACAACTCTGGGTTCCCTGATCTGAGTGAGTTCAACCATGCCCTAAATCTATCTTGGGGGATGTTCTGAGCACACCAGCGGGTCCTTTAAGGATCTATGTCTCCTGTATAAGGGGTGAGCTGGTGGACATGGCCCAGGAGTGGTGAAGTGTTTAGCTAAAGTTGGTAAGTATGAACAACCCCTTTGAAAGAATGACCTAAAGAGTATGTTCAGGTATCTGGCCACAGCATCCTTGTACAAAAACAAAACAAAACTACAGAGTCAGCCAAACTACAGCCTCTCCCCTATGAGGAAGGCAGAAAGCCAGGTCTCCTGTCCTGATTTGGTGGGGGGTGGGCAATCAGGACAGTGGGTCAGTTTCATATAAGATAGCACAGGCAGAACAACCGAATGCCCTATCCCAAATAACTTTTCCAAGTGCTTCATATGGGAAGTTTAAATTGGCAACCTATTGGTTATGCCCCATCTAGAAAATGCTCTCCATAGCCAACAATAGTTCCTGCTTTTAACATGTCAATTTATAAAGCCCTCTGTTTCTGGGGTGGGTAGATAACTGGAAACAAGATGGGTCCAGGAGTCTCCACGCATAGGCTAGAAGTTGGACTGTGATTGTCTTTGTAGCCAAGGAACATTATAGGAAAATCCATTTCAGAGTTTGGATGGGGACCACAGAATTGAGGCTTTGTGAAGGACAAGCCATGCGGCCCCACCACCATTTCCAACTTCACCTCTTAAGGTCTGCATTCCAGTATGAGGGCCTCCACTGCACCACCTCTGAGAAAAGACAGAGGGCAAAAACACTGGCACTGGGAACTTACACACACACACACACACAGCGACTCTGCACATGGATGGAAGTCACAGCTGCTTGCAGAGGATACTACTGTTCAGTCTCTGAGATACTATGGATGCGGAGGATTCATCCAGTTCAAGAGCTTAGAAGGCCTCCTGAGGGACCGCCCCTGTAGTCTGAGACCCTCTTTCAGCCAAATTGGAAGGCAGGCGGGGCCCCCGGGGCGGAGTCGCAAGCCAAGAGGGGCGGGCCACCAGGGCTGGTCCCAGACTGTGGGATGAGCTGCAGGGAGAAGGAGCAACTCTAGAGAGACAGCCACGCATAGGGCAAGGAGAGCAGGACAGAGCGGCACACGCCCACCAAGCACGCGTGCGCCTGGGCCAGAGCTAGGCAGTGTCCCCAGAGCCCGGGCCGCGCCCACCTATCGCGCCACCGCAGGTCTGGGGGTGAGCCCCTGGAGGCACCAAGGCAGGTGAGTGCGGAGTGGCGGTGGGTCCTGGAGATCTCCTCCTGCCTTGGGACACCGAGGTTGGGGATTGGGGCGTAGCTCGAGAAGCAGGGACGCGGGCAAAAGGCGAGTCGAGAAGGGCGGAGGTATCCAAGCCCCTCAGACAGCCCTGGTGACCGGCTTTTCTTCTTGGGCTTGAATTTCCCACTGAATTCCTAACCCCGGGCAGTGCAGCCTCATCTCTGAGGCGAGTGGGAGACAAGGGACCGGCTGGTGCGCGCTCTCCTGTTGTCTGTGGGTTGGTGTTGAGAAGCCAGCCAGGACTTCCACTTATCTGTCACCAGTATCATTCTGTGCGAGCTCAGAGGCAGGACACTGGGGTACAGACTTTGCTGGAACCCCCACTATCAAGTGTGGTGAAGCGCGCAGATGATCCATGTGCAGTAAGTTGGGGTTTCACTAATGCCCCGAGACTGCTGTTCCTGGCCAGGGTGATGATCCCTGTCCCCTGCCATTCTCCCTGCCCTCACAAGGCTGGACAGACCTAGCTGTCAAGTTTGATAGCTTCTTGCTATCTCTACTTGCAGCTCCTTGCAGGAAGGTGATTCATGGATGATGAAATGGACCAAGTTAGGTTGGGATCCTCTCCTCAGCCTCTCAGAGACCCCTTTCCCTGTAGCAGTCACCTCCTGGGGGGAATAGCGTTCTAGAGACTTTATTTCATCTCCCTCTTGTGGACATCTGAAAACACTAAGGATGTAAAGGAGTTCTCAAGCCAGGAAGGACAGCCTTAGAGTCCCTGGTCACCCCCACCCACGCTTAGGAGACTGTTTTCAGTTCAGTCTGGTGTCTCAGGGCAGGCACCACTTCAGACTGACAAGGCTCAGTCAGTCCCTCTTTGTCAAGGTTGGCAGAATGGGAATCTGGGCTCCTAGAGGAGAGGTCTGGGGGCAGACCCAAAGCAGCAGAGACAATCCCTAGAGAAATGGTTTATTCTAGAGCAGGTTTTTCCATTCAGGAGGACCTCAGTCATCTGAGTTTCTTACATGTCCCTGGGTTTGTAAGTGTATACAGAAGGCATAAAAATCAAACAATTACTGATAAAAATCACTAATGTATTTTAAAACAATTCTTTGATATGCATATAATTTTACCATTTATTAATGAGGGAAACAAATTTGCATGCTGAGATGGATTGCTTATTTTTACATAAAGAATTAAATCTTGACTGAATATTTGATACAGCATCTTCAACATTTTTTCAGAGTTGAATGACATGTTGATTTTATAATCACCAATACTGAGAATTTCACTTCATATAAACTTGTGGTATAAATGGAAGAAGTGTTTCAGGGCCATTTGAGAAACTGTTGGAAATTCTGTCCTAATTACAAGCCATATTTCATTTAATGACTTCTTTTTTTTAATAAAACTCAAGTCATCTGCTCAAATAGCAATTTTTAAATTTTTATTATACCTCTGTGTCTCTGTGAGTGTGTATGTGTGCTGAGTACCTCTGAGGCCAGAAAAGGCAGCTAGAATTACAGACAGTTTTAAGCAAGCTGAGAACTGAACTCTGGTCTTATTCAAGAGCAGCAAGCACCTATGACTAACTACTAAGCCATCTCTCAGCCCTTCACATAGAAATTTTTAAATAAAAAATGTTTTAGCACAATAAATCCAAGGATACCCTACTTAGTGGCTGGACGAAACAGTGTGTATCTATAATCCCGCTGGTTGGGAGACTGAGGCAAAAGGATCATGAGTTTAAGATCAACCCAAGTGGCATGACCCTGCCTCAAAAATAAAACAAACAAAAAATAGACCAATTTGGTACTTACATACTAGGGAAACTCAAAGTCTTTGGTTTACATGATTAAACCATTATGCTTCTATGGGATCAGAAAGCTTTGGTGTGCAATAATTGTACAAGGGCAATTCATAGCACAGTCCGGACTGAGGCAAGGTATTTCAGACCCTGTTAACTGGCACTGCAAAGAAATATAGCACGCAGGGCAAAGTGCACATAGGTGTTTAGAAACAAAGCTACAACAAAATCTCCTGATGTAACGTGGTTGAGAGATGCTAGAATCAGCTTCAATTCATTGCTCATTTGATTTCATTTTTGGCCATTCAGAAACCATTTACTGTTGCTCAACTTTTTGCAACCCCACAGTTTAAGAGGCTGTTTTACAACCAGTTTAAGAAACTGGCTTCTAGAGCACCTAAGCAGGCAAGCAGCAGGAAAGCCACTCCCAGCCACCAACAGATTACCATCCATTCCCTGCCTTATGCCATTGTCTGATAAGGTTGAGAGTAACAACAGACAAGCCAGCTCTGTCTGCTGGGAGAAGAGCAAGGGAGCCCACTCCTCCTTAGGTTTCTATGGAGAACCTGGTTCATTCTGTGGCCAGCAGGCAGAGGGTCTCTTGTCTCCTACCCCTGGGTGGTTCTGGTTGGACTGTACCTGGGAACTGTGGGGGAATACTGTTAGATCTGATATTTGCTGTCCATTCCTTGTATCCCCCCCCCACCCCGCCCCAGATCCTGGATGGTATCAATTCTCCCCAAGGATTCCAGCAGGGAACTGCACACACTGGCCCTCACTGGAGGTGCTGAACTCCACCTGGACACTCCTCCCTGATACCATCCCTCCTGCCGGAATCAACATGGCAGCCCAGAACAGAAACACTAGCTTTGCACCTGACTTGAATCCACCTCAAGATCACGTCCCCTCGCTCCCCTTCAACTTCAATTACAGTGATTATGACCTCCCCCTGGATGACGATGAGGACATGACCAAGACACAGACCTTCTTTGCAGCCAAGATTGTCATTGGCGTGGCACTGGCAGGGATCATGCTAGTCTGTGGCATTGGCAACTTTGTCTTCATTGCTGCCCTCGCCCGCTACAAGAAGCTGCGCAACCTTACCAACCTCCTCATTGCTAACTTGGCCATCTCTGACTTTCTGGTGGCAATCGTCTGCTGCCCCTTTGAGATGGACTATTACGTGGTTCGCCAGCTTTCCTGGGAGCATGGTCACGTGCTTTGTGCCTCTGTCAACTACCTTCGTACGGTCTCTCTTTATGTCTCCACCAATGCCCTGCTGGCCATCGCTATTGACAGGTGAGGCTCACCTCCACTTTCACAGGCTGGTGTTGCTCCAGATGCGACTCCTTGATGATTTGTCGTGGAGATGTTCTCCGGCTGTGTTCTGTCACCAACATTTGAGTGAGCTGGAGACTTCTGAGTCCCATAGTTCTGGTCATGACCTGAGATACCATCTCTGCATCAGATGTAGGCAGTTCATGGTCTCCAACACAAAGGCAAAAGGCAGAGAATTCAGGCAGCAACTACTCAAAAGCCATGGGATAGTTAACTGGGAGGGCAGCTCCCAGTCAAGGTGATGGTACCAAGTTTCTCATGTAGCTGGATCCAGATACAAAACATTCCATTGCGTAGGAAGCTTTCTGTGCCCCTGGTGATTTCCACTCCCACTCCCAGAAATGACTCTCTGTCATCACAGTTCAGATCTGTCTGTTCTGTAGTCACTCCACCAGAATCATGCAGCATAGAGCATGCCTTCTAGTGGCTTCGTTGCAGAGCTGATTTGAAAATAAGAAAACAGAGTTTGCTTACAGGAAAAAGGGAAGGACATGTTTGCGTTTGCTGTTTTGCATGCATCAGCATGCTTATTTACATACATTTGCATGAGACCTTCTAGAAGTCCTTGCTCTATTATAAATTCATAGGTAACATTTATAATCGTGCATGTTTCATTTACGTACACAGTTTCAGGTCAGCATTGTCAACAGTGACAGGGTGGGGGATCGTGGAGGGGACCTTTAATGAGTTCATCCCTTTGAGCCATTCGGAAATGCATTCTGATGATGTGCTTAGTGGCCTTCCCTTTTGTCTCCTTCAGCTCTTGAGTTTCTCCCTTCCTTATTCTGAGTGCTGTTTAGTGCTTTCTAATACACCACTTAGTTATTTTTCAGTTCTATTAACAAAAGACACAGGAACAAGATGCTTTTTATAGCAAGATACCTGTGGGAAAGCACCTTTGTTACATACAGCTCTGAGGTTCTGCAGCCCGGAAGCCAGCTTACAAAATGCACATTCACCAGCCAGCTGCACAAGATTCTTCGGAAGAATCATCAGCCTCTCATTTGCTATAGTGATTGCGTCCGGTTCCTGAGCCCCACCCACCCCAGCCTCCTGAATGGGTATCCCTTGAGCCAGGAGCTGCAAAACCTCTGCATATTCATTCACTTTCATGAGTGACTCTAATGTTTGCTGACATGAGAGTGATCCTCACCCCCACGTAAGCTTCATGTCAGTGATGGTGACATCCATTTTGCTTTGTCTCATGGTCTGTGATGCTAGCTAGCACTGCTTAGGACGCAATGGTGCGGACAGCAGAGGTTCCCTTTCATCCCAGCCATGCCTTCCCCATACAGCTTCCACACCCCACCCACTTTGCCACCACTCCCAGTGACCCAAGCAGGGAAGTGACTGCCATCCTCTGCCTTCCTTCCTGTCCCTCACCCACTGATCCCACACTTGTGTTCAGCTCTTGCTACTTGGCAAGTCATGATGGGCACTCTGGTGCTCTGCTGACCTGTCTCTTGTACCCCAGGAGCTTCCGACCGCTCCCCAAAGTCCATGTCCATCCATATAAAGCATCTGAGCATCACTGTTGCTGGCTCTGCCTGAGATAGTCCTTTGCCTATGAAATCTCCAGAAGTCCCAGTGTCACAGTGTAGTCAGATTTTTCTTTGGGTTGCCAGTTCACAAATTATGACATGAAGGTTTATTAATTATGAAAGATTGACCTTAGTTTAGGGTTGTCCAGTTAGCTCTTATAACTTAAATTAACCCATTTATATCAATCTACGTTTTGCCTCCTGACTTTTTACCTTTCTTTCATTCTATATGTCTGATTCCCCCTGCCTCCCCTGCCTACCCTTTCATACGCTTGGCATCTCCTCTGCACCTCGATCATCTTCTCCTATTTCCTCTCTCTGCCTGGAAGTCCTGCCTATATCTCCATCCTAGCTATTGACCATTCAGATCGTTATTAAACCAACCACAGCATTATATCTTCACACAGTGTACAAATATCCCACAACCATCACAGGATATAAATCCTGAGTCTAGCATTGTGGGCTATGCCAGCCTGACCTTCCAATTTTTTCTTCCCTAAAGATACATTTTAAGAGCAATCATCATGTCTTTAGTCTTTCTGTCTCCAACTAAGATACCTACACCTTAGTTTGTGCTATCCCCCAAACCCTCTGCAGAACACAGGGATCCATGGGCAGATGAACTAGAAAATACTGAGAAGGGAATGAGACGTGAGGGTAACAGATACGGAACTAAAGCTTCCAAGGGGATTTCTGCTAAGGGACCCTTGGAGTAGGCTCAGAGTTCTCCAGGAGCAGGAGGAGGGAGCCAAGGTGCTTATACAGGGATCTTACAAGTCATTGCATCTCTGAAAATACTGAACAGGTAGCCAAGAGGACTCTGAAAGCCAGAGAAAAACCTCAGACAAACAAACAAAAAGGCGGGTGTAGGCATGTTGCAATGCACACACATATGCTGAAATGGCAAAGCAGAAAGGAACAAGGGAGTTATACCAAAGTGGTGAGGACACAGGGCTCTGAGGAAGTAGATAGCAAAATGGTAAGGGGGGAGCATAGGCGAGTATATACTGAGGGGTAAGAGCAGAGGTATATGGAGAAGGTACTGGCAGCATCTGCCATGACCACAACAGGTGTTTGGGCTCTGCTGTTCCCAGGCTTTGAACATGGAAACACAGGCAATAGAAGATGTGGCTTCTTGAACTCCAGAAGTTTTTGGGGTTTTTTTTCCATTTTAAAAACTAGGTATCATCAAACATTAAGAATAACGAAGATATACTGATTTATAAATGCTAGGTTTTCAAGAGAGACAAGCATCTCACCTCTGTAGTCCAGAATGACTTTGAACTCTGATCCTGGGCACTGAGATAAGTGACATATACCCCTAAATCTAAGCTTAGCTCCCTCAAGAAGTTTATACCTACCTTGAATGGGAGAGGATCTAGATGGAAAGGAAGCTTCATGGGCAGGAGCACATCTGTGGAGCACAGAGAGGTCATAGGTAGGTGGTGGAGGTTCTAGACAGGAGCATATCTGATGAGCACAGGGGAGGTCATGGGTAGGTGGCGGGGACTCTGTAAGGCTCAAAGATGTAAAGACTGCACATAGGACCATAGGCCTTAGGATGGAGATCCCTAATAAATAGCACCTTCTCCCATCACCAGGCTCTAAACTAACCAGAAATGGGCATCAGACTCCCCCCCCCCACCTTTCCCTTATGGTGCTGGTTCTAGGAAATGGGTCTTTTTACTGGGGTCATGTTGGGTAGATAGTTGGCAACAGAGACCCTGCAGATGTCTCTCTTGCCAACAAATGAGTCATGGGAAATAAGCATAAGCAATGTACTATAACTCCATCATACATTATGAATGTTTACTTTCTTGGAAGCTGACAAAAATCCTGATAGATCGTCAGTTAAGTCATTATAATCCCCACTTCACAGATGCAGACACTAAGTCTCAAGAGCATAAGTTATTTATCCAAGTGCACAGCTTGGAAACTGGCCTCCTAATCCCCCCCCCCCCCGCTGCCACGTCAGTGCTCTTTTCTTCCTGGTGTACTTGATGCTAACAAGGACAAGAGTGAGAGAACTATTAAGTCCTGGATTTGTTTTACAAAGTACTGTACTTTAGGTCAATACAGTACACAGAATAATGAATGCCCAACTGTGAAATATTCCTGCCCCAGTTAAGTGTGGGGAGTGCCTACCTGTTTGCCTCTGCAGCCTTGTGATGCTAGCCCTCCTAGCCTGGTCATGCAGATATGTGGAGAACTCCCAACACTTGCTACAGTTAACACCTTCCTGGGAGCCTTTCCCCCACTTTTGTGTTGGGATGGGTTCAGCTCTCGGCCCACACACTTCCTGCTCTTGGCCCACACACTCGTTTCCGGGATAGTTTGTCCCTCACCTACCTCTCACAATTCTTCTCTTCCTCTACCTTCCCCTACCACACTTCCTGCCCCCAATCAACATAATGCAAGGCAATTATCCAACAACCCAAACAGCTAAGTAGCTATCATTCCATTTCTCCAGAAGGGAGACAAGCAACCACACAGGTGAGCCTGTTTTCCATGAAGGGTTCTGGCCTGTCTTTCTTGAGCAGTGTGACTCACTGACAAGAACAAGGGTAAAGGTTTAAGGAAGTGTCTGCGTTATGCACTTTCTCTTAAGTGTGAAATGACATGGGGAGGTGGGTGTGAAAGTATTGAATCAGGAGACTTGATTCTGGTCTCTGTCAGCCGTGAACCTGGGCATAGTGCTTACTTCTTATAATCCTACTGCCTCCATAATGCAGGCTGCAGTCCAGCAGGAGGTGGGGGGGGAGGGGGATGCTAAGCAGTGTTCACACCTCACTCTGAAGTACACACTCTTCTTCCACCTTAAATCATGAGGTATTCAGGATAAGAACTTTAAGGACTTGTTCATGGGCAGGACGGCAAGATGAAAACTCAAAGGGTATAATAATACCATGATCAGATGAGTACATGTATCTACTGAAAGATACTTGTGCAAGCACATCCTTACCATGTTTAATGTTTATGGACATCCTGCAAGGTAAGTATCATTTGTCTCAGGTTGTATTTGAGGAAACAAATCTCTGAGAGAAAGTGTAATTCCCAGATCCCTAGGTCAGTCAAGGGAGAAAAGCCGGGCTGATTTAACCTGTCTGCTGTTTCCATTAAACCCCCTACTCTAAATGCCAAGTGAGACTGTTAATGAGTTAGTGCTGCTTAAACCTGGGTAGTGGGCACCTGGGGAGTCATTGTGCCATTCCCTGGCTTTTGTGTATGCTCTGGGCTGGTTAAAAAAACCAATAATGCTTCCAAGTATAAACATAATTGCTGGCTTCCTTCTCCCTCCAGATACCTGGCCATTGTCCACCCCTTGAAACCACGGATGAATTATCAGACTGCTTCCTTCCTTATCGCTTTGGTCTGGATGGTCTCCATCCTCATTGCCATCCCATCCGCCTATTTCACCACTGAAACCATCCTCGTTATTGTCAAGAATCAGGAAAAGATCTTCTGTGGCCAGATCTGGCCGGTGGACCAGCAGCTCTACTACAAATCCTATTTCCTCTTTGTCTTTGGCCTTGAGTTTGTGGGCCCGGTTGTCACCATGACCCTGTGCTATGCCAGGATCTCCCAGGAGCTCTGGTTCAAGGCCGTACCTGGATTCCAGACCGAGCAGATCCGCAAGCGGCTGCGCTGCCGCCGCAAGACAGTACTGTTGCTCATGGGTATCCTCACGGCCTACGTGCTGTGCTGGGCGCCTTTCTACGGCTTTACCATCGTACGAGACTTCTTCCCTACTGTGTTTGTGAAGGAGAAGCACTACCTCACTGCCTTCTATGTCGTTGAGTGCATCGCCATGAGCAACAGCATGATCAACACCATCTGTTTCGTGACGGTCAAGAACAACACCATGAAGTACTTCAAGAAGATGCTGCTGCTGCACTGGCGACCCTCTCGCTATGGCAGCAAGTCCAGTGCTGACCTGGACCTCAAAACCAGTGGGGTTCCTGCCACAGAAGAGGTGGATTGTATCCGGCTAAAGTAGCCTGCTGGTGAAGTCCACGGAAAGACAAATTCGATAGTATATCGCACACCATCAACAACTCATGAGCTGCATGGGAAAAGACAACTGTGTTCATGTCCTCCTACCAAATTTGTCTGGATGCTTCTACGTCCTAACATATAGCACAACTGAAATCTGTGTAACACCTTAAGAGACTAGACACAAATGGCAGCAAGTGGCGGGAACTGAACACCTTCTGTCTGCAAGCCACACCAAGAGATTATTCAAGGACAGGAGCTGACATTTGCTAACTATATGCTGTATGTAGAAAGTTACCCCCCCCAAAAAAAAAGTAGAATCTATTTGGTGTTATCAAGCTCTATCTATCTACTGACCTACTTACCTACCTATCTATTCATCCATCTAGATCACTGGAAAGAGGTCATAAATAACTAGCCAGTGCTGTGCCCATATTCTCTCATCCGTATCTCATCTGCACAGAACTATCAAAGGGCAACAAAATAAAGCACTTAGGCACAGTAGAAATATGGAGCCCACTGTCTCCCAGCTCCAGCTATCTCCTTGATACCTGTACTTACCTACAAGGATGTGATTCCACTTTACCACTCCAAGGCAATAAATGCATCCAGTTCCTGATACTTCAATGACAAGGATTTCGGGGCTCTGGGGTCATGGAGGAAGAAGACACCGAAAGAAGCAGAGGTTGCCAGAGGCAATGAACATAATCTGTGTCCATTTGCTATAATTTGGATGATTTTCTAGAACATGCTCTGTCTTATAAAAGGAGCTCTGCTTGAGATCCAAAGATGTGTGTAAAAATCCTAACTCCAGGCCCCATCTCTGTGTGCCTCCACTTTAATGAACTGGGAATAATGAAAACAGATGACCGGGAAAGCCCATTGAAGTCATGGTGTGTATGATTTTCAGCTCTACCCTTATTAAGAATGTGACACTGAATAGCTCATTAGGAGGAGTTTGGAAATATCATTCACTGTGGGAGGGTTTTTTTTTTTTCCATAAAGGAATAGCTCCACATTTTCATCGCTGTTCTTTGGACCAGAGACTATTGAACTCATTTTAAAGTAGCATATCGATAGTGGGGCATAGAAAGCTCCCAGTCCCAGGTTGCAATAGTCAACGACAATCCTCTCAGCATCCCTATGGTCTTAGAAGCACTGACAGTCTTCCCAGCATAGCATTGGTGGACCCCAGGACTGAATTCATTTGTATTATTATGTCATCTGCTGAACAGTACAGTTGGTTAGGCTGACCTACCTGGCTAGATGTATCTCCTTCCTGCATCCCCCGCTTAACTGCATATCAGTTACCAAGGAAGACCTTCCTCAACACAGGAGGACTGCTATTCTGTCAAGGGATAGGTGTGTCACACCTCCATGATAAATTGCCAGTCTCTCCAGTCGACCCTGTATCCTTTGAGTATGTCAACAGACTTCACCTGCTTCTTAGATTCAAATGTACCATCCCCCTCTCGTTTAGATTTAGCTGGAAAACACTTCTGTAAATATCAATGCATATCTGCGATATGCCTGTGAATAAAGTGTATGTGGTTTTCATATGGAATAATTAACATACAGAATTGCAATCCCGGTGTTCAAAGGGTTCCCTGCTAATGTTTTGTGCTGTGTTTATATATTTAGACATAACTGAAATAATAGCTAAGTAACTCAAACCTGAAATGAGAGGGAATTTCCAAAGGCATTCTTAGAACAAGGACATCTCATGCTAGCAACTGGTCCCACATCAGTATTCTCTGAGGAGTGTGTTCTTGGATGTAAGTTAGCAGGGAATCATTACCCTACATGTTGCCTTGTTTATTAATGATTTTTAAGATGCAGGCTTCTTTCACGCAGAGAGTATTTATGCCTCCAGTAGAACTAAGGAACCAAGTTAATTGCATTTGTGTTCACTCTTCTCAGCACTAATTAAAGGCAAGTTTAAGATACTTTTTACATGTTAAGTACACACTTAGTTAGACCTATTTCACATTGAAAAATTAATCTCATTTATTATAGCAGATCCATTTTCTTGGCCATAATAAAAGATGGTTATGCAATGAAGTTGTTACAGGTTTTTGTTAAGCATCCAATGTTTAAAATAAGTTACTTCTAAAATTGGAAAAAAATAAAAAAAATGATTCAGGCCCTCAGGCATGACAAACAATTCCAGACATCACAAGGAAGAATGTGGCATGTGGGAGGTAATTAGAAATCTTAACACAAGTTCTGTTTCTACTCAAAAATGGTGACTTCAAAACATATCCTCTGCATCCAGCCATATATTCCTTTGGCCTCAAAAACATGAACACACACACACACACACCAGTAGGACACCAGACCAGGAAATGACTTGAGGACATAAAATTTAGCTCCTTTCTTTGGCATATCTGAATTCCAAAGAAAGAAGTGATCCATAGAGGGTACACAGTTAATTCTCACTAGAGCTAAAGTCTTATCCCAGCATTTTAACTGTGGGCCAATGAGCAACATTCAGTGACTGCCTATACCTCAGTCCAAAGGACTTGGCACACCTTGGGATCAGGTTCTAGAACATGGAGAACCTTGTTTAAGTCTCTAGATTTCTTTGCTTGTTCATTCAAAGTAGGTTAAATCCCCATTCTGGAAGCCTTATGGTATAAGATCAAGAGACAAATTGTGGGTTGTACATGGACTTCCTTTCAGATAGCTGTTGGAAGCTCATGGTACCCAATTCAAAAAATAGCATCCCATTCTTATAATCATTTCTCAAAAAAAATTTCCACTGTGCATTTTCACTATATTTTTATTTTAATATACACTCTCTTTTCTACATACAGTTAAAATATTAAGTATATGCATCCTCATGCGTTGTAATGATATATATATGTATGTATGTATGTATGTATGTATAATCTCATTGTTGTAGGACTGCATGTTTGTGAATTGGTTTACAAACTAAAATTTATTTGTAACCCCCAAATCTGTACTCATGACGCTTGAATAGACACACAACATGGTGACTTTTGACTGATCCAATGGACATGTTTCCATTAGAGGTTGGACAAACTGAGACTCCACCTTCTTACTTCAGTTGTAAACAAGTACTTGGTACAGAACAGGAGGGGCATTTGCATTCCACGATGCAAAAGTCCCACTTGTACTTCACACTGTGTAAAGACCTTCGCATACACACTGCTAACAGCCTTCTCGTTCCGAGCTAACCTTTAGCCTACATGTGATCTAAATGGTGCCTCGGGACACATCGACTCATTGACTCATTATCCACTCCCCTTCCCAATCCCCATCCCCTGACTACATATAAAAAGTACAGGAGGAGACAAGGAGACAGCCACCAGCATCTAGGAACTCAGAGACTAAGCTGACCAGCTGACAAGAGGGGCAAGACCAAATGTGGGAATGATTTACAGGCCTTTGTTTCAATTCACTATAAAATGATGCTAACTGAGCCAGGTGGTGGTGCATGCCTGTAGCCCCAGCACTTGGGAGACAGAGGCATGGAGATCTCTTTGAGTTCGAGGCCAGCCTGGTCCACAGAGTGAGTTCCAGAATAGCCAGAGCTGTTACTCAGAGAAACCCTGATTCAGAAGAAAAAAAAAAAAAAAAAGATGACTGAGGTGGACCAAAGAAGGCAGGAGGCAGCTCTCTCTCTCTCTCTCTCTCTCTCTCTCTCTCTCTCTCTCTCTCTCTCTCTCTCTCTCTCCAGCTTCTTGGGTACTGCCTGCCTGAATACAGCAGTCTATAGGATCTGCTCCAGCCTGCTCACTGGCTTCTGTGGAAATAGGCAGCATTGTGCTCCAGTATCCTGCTACATATGCCTTCAAAGTCTATTTAGGTCATGTCTTGTTTATAGAACCCCCAAAAGGTACTTTAATGTGATTTCTGGTGTTCCTAGGTACAAGAAGGCTATGATACATCTTGCATAGAAAATAGGTATGTTAGAGAAGTTTTATTATAGAGGTATTGGCCATGAACTCGATTAGATGTCAAGGACTCAAGCACATATTAATAAAGTATGTTTAAGAAAACATTTAAAAGGTTATATGTTGTCCAGCTAACAAAATGTGACCAGTGGCCTCAGGGGTATGACCCCAAACTTTCTTTGCCAGCAACTAATCAGTATTTGCTGTGTGTGTGTGTGTGTGTGTGTGTGTGTGTGTGTGTGTGTGTGTGTGTATTATTTCTAAATCTTTGTTTACTCACTTTATTGGGCATTCTTGTGAGGAATGAGAATTCAGTCCCATCCCTTGAGTTCTAACCTTGCTTGACATAACACATAACTTGGGACACAAGCTAAATAAAATCTAGGTCTGAGATTTTAATTAGCCAAACTGTCATTTCTTGCAGCATCCCTGCCACTCCTCCTTCCAAGTCTGCCACTTTGATGCAAATTGAAACCCTTGAAGAGGGAGAGCCCTGTTGATGGGAATGCACACACTCACCCAAGCCACAGTGCACTCTTTCTGCAGACGACATGTCTTAAGGAAAATGCTTTCTCCCCACTAAAAACCTGATAACTACAGACAGGTGGCCTGTAATGCTGTTACAGACAGGGAGGAAGGAAACCACACATTTGCCTCTTCATCCTACTGTGGGAAGGAGGACAGCATTGGCGAATTTTTTAACTGAGTGTTTGTGTGACATATCCAAAGGAAGATGATGATCTTTGTGAGGCCATGGTGAGAGGCTGTTGTTAATGGTAATGCATTTTTTCTTTTCTTTCTTTTTTTGTTTTTTGTTTTGTTTTGTTTTGTTTTTTTGTGTTTTTTTTTGTTTGTTTGTTTGTTTTGTTTTGTTTTCTGCTCTGGTTTTTTGAGATAGGATCTTTCCATGTATCTCTGGCTGTCATGGATCTTACTTGGTAGATCAGGCTGGTTCTTTTGTTCTGGTCTGGTTTTGGGGTTCGGGGTTTTTCAGAATAGAGTTTCTGTGTACCTTTGGCTGTCCTAGAACTCACTATATAGACCAGGCTGGCCTCAGACTCACAGAAATATGCCTGCCTCTGCTTCCCAAGGGCTGGGATTAAAAGCATGCACTATCACTGCTCAGTGACCAGGCTGGTTTCTAACTCACAAAGATCCACCTGCCTCTGTCTTCTGAGTGCTGGGATTAAAGGCATGTGCCACCACATGTGAATAGCAATGCTGTTTCTCCCAACAGATCCAAGCATACAACAGGAAGAAGACTGAGAAGGAAGAAAAGATCCCTTCAACACAAATGATGTTCAACTCTACCTAGAAAATGAGGTCTCAAAGATCATGAGGCAAATTGTGAAGGAAAACCTGATTCA